GAGCGTTTTCGTAATCCGTGACTCGCTTATTAGGTGTAATTTGACCCTCAGTGGTGCCATAACATTTCCGGTGTCATTTGAACCCAATGGGGCTCAAATGACACCGGAATATTATGACACTACCCAGGGTCAAATTACACTCAATAAGTCATTTGTACGGAATATTATGACACCACTGAGGATCAAATTACACCTAATAAGGGAGTCGTGGATTGCGAAAACGCTCAACTGTGTGAAATGACACCTATAGGATATAAAAACTCCTCATGATAGCGTCAAAAACGCTTAGATGTGTCATTTTACACTGACACCTTGCAGGATCTTTTGACACGACACCTAAAATGGGAGTCAAAATTTTGGGAGTCAAATGACCCTTGGGTATGTGATTCTGACCGAGATCAATTTACACTAAAAAATGGTGTATGGACACCGTTTTTCAGAATCGGATTACACCATGGGTGTCAGTTGATTCCCAAATAGGGGATCGTGATTCCCGGGGGGAGTAATTATTTTTCTCCGTGTAGGTAATGTTTGGCAATACGTCCCCCGATGCTTCCAAAGTGCTGGTTTGTTCTTTGAAGTGGACACATTTAAAATACATACATCAATTTTGAAGGGACAAAGCGGTGCTTCTCATCTCGCACTTTCATGGATTCATTGCCGGGGCAGCTTCATGTGGTAAGCGACCGATCATGTGAACATGTGGTTTATTATGTTTCGTCTATCAGTAATAGTGCATGCCGGATGAACACATGAACCAATAGGCATTGTAGCTATACATATTCGATCCACTGGTAATGCAGAAAACACATTTATATCGCCACATGCTAATTGATGACAACATGACGCCTTCAATGCACCAAGGCGATTGAAAGACGAAGCTACGGCATTGCCAGCGCCTTACTTCAGAATGTTAGCAAGGTAAGATTACGTACACTCGGGGGCAGATTGATGTTCCACCACTCCCTACCCATCGGGCTCCCATGGCTCAGCACTGGCTGCTGCCAGTGTTGCCTGCCCTCAGCACTGCTCAGCACTGCCTGCCAGTGCCAGTGCTGTCAGTTCTGCCACTGGCAGCAGCCAGTGCTGAGCCATGGGAGCCCGATGGGTAGGGGCTGGTGGAACATCAATCTGCCCCCGAGTGTACCTGGAAAGCTCGGAAGCAAACTCTTCCCACAAGCTTGTAGCATTGTGCGCTTGACTGATCTGTTTTATCCTTGGTAGGTAGGTAAAGGTATACTAAATACTAAATAGTCAACAACATGAAATCCTAGCTTTACCTTCCGATAGTGATACAGTATAATCTATGATAACTTACAGACATCTAAATTTGAGTTATGCGCACAATATAACTCCTTGCTGACAAGAATGAGTAATGAGCATATATAAAACAAAAGTGAACCGAATTGGCCAACGTTCTTATCAAAAGGCCGGCCGTTGAACCAGTAAATGTCATATGGGGAGAGGATAAGGAAGTGGCGTAGACTATGCACTGCAGTATCTATGTAGTATCTATGCAGTGCAGGCAGTGGCGTATCCAGGGGGGAGGCCAAGAGGCCATGGCCTCCCCCTTTGGCATCAAGCATGCAAGTGGGCCCTTTGGGTCACTTGAGTGCAGTGACGTACCCAAGGGGGGCCACGGGGGCCCTGAGGGGCCCCTGGTTACCTGAGGATCTACCTGGTCACCTGAGAGGCCCCTGGTTATCTAAGGGGCCCCTGGTTATCTGAGGGGCCCTGGTTACCTGAGGGGCCCCTAATTATCTGAAGGACTCCTGGTTACCTGAGGGGCACCATACTACGGGGGCCCCTGGTTACCTGAGGGGCCCTGGCTATCTGAGGGGCCCCTGGTTACCTGAGAGGCCTCTGGTTATGAGGGGCCCCTGATTACCAGAGGGGCCTCTGGGTATATGAGGGTCCCTTGGTTATCTGAGGGTCCCCTGGTTACCTGAGGGGCCCCTGGTTATCTAAGGGGTTCCTAGCTACCTGAGCGGCCCCTGATCCCTTGGGTGGCCCCTGGTCAGTGACCTGAAGAAACCCTGGTCACCTGAGGGGCCCATGCTTACCCGGGGAGTACCTGGTTATATGAAGGGCCCTTGCAGTCACATGAAGGCCCTTAGTTACCCGTGGAGGCCCTGGTATAACCGGCCCCTGGTTATCAGAGGGTCCCCTGGTCAGTTGAAAGGCCCCTGGTCACATGAGAGGCCCCTGCTCACCTGAACGGCCCCTGATCATTTGTATTCAATGGTATAGCCAGGGTCGAGGGGGCACGCTTCCGTTATAAGGTTTAGGGTCCCCTCGGGCCTAATGGGCCCTCCGGTGCCAATTGGCGGCAGAGGGTCCGCGCTGGCCACGCTTCAACTGGAAAGGACACCACAGGGCTTGTGAGAACACCCCATGGGCTCTTGTGTAGCCACACTTATCTCCAGAAGGGCCCCACGCCGGGTTCTGAGGGACCTTGCCGGCCAATGAGGGATCAACTGTAAGGGCCCATACCCGTTTGCTATGGCCCCACGGCCCACACCGGTGTTTCTGAGGGCCCTCGCCTGCGAGGGCCTTCACTACCACCTCTAAGGGTCCCACACCAGTGCCTCTTAAGGGCCTACTTTGGCGGTTCTGAGAGCCTCCACACCGGCGCCTCCGAGAGCCCTATGCCAGCGCATCTGACGGCCACTTATCAGCGACTCTGAGGGCCTCTTACCGGCCTCTGAGAGTCCCTTGCTGGCCTATGAAGGGCCACGAGTAACTTTCAGGGCCCCACACACGCCTATGATGATTGATGGCCCCACCAGTGTCTCTAAGCCCTAAGGCCCCCACAACGGCGCCTGTGAGGACCCCACACCAGCGCATCTGACGGCCTTTCACCGACACCTCTGAGGGACCAACGCAGGTGACTCTGAGGCGCTCGCTCGCTTCATTTCCTCGTAAAATACCGTGCATTTTATGCACACTTCTCAGGCAAAAAATGATATTTTTACCTGCAAATTTTCCACATTTCTCAGGGCTTAGGCAGACAGACAGACAGACAGAGGGGCCCGTCTGCAAGGGGGACCGGACCCATTGTGCCCAATCCCCTCATCGAAAGGTTCTGGATACTAGCTCGATTTGCTAGCTCGATCAGGGACGGTTGGACCCCCCTCCCCTATACGTTCGCGGCTGGCAAAACACCAATACGGGCGAGGGTTAAAGGCCGGCGTGGGTCCCTCAGGGGGCATCATAGGCTTCTAGAGACCGGCGTGGGCTAGAGAGCGGCATAGGGACATCAGAGACTGACTCCAAGGCTCCCAAGAGCCAGCGGGGGCTCTGTGAGGTCAGCCATAGTATGGGTCTCCTGAGGTCATTATGGGGCCCGGAGGCCAGTGTGGTTCACTCTGTTGCCGGTGTGGAGCTTTCAGAGACCAGAATGAGCCTTCAGAGGTCGGAGTGAGGCCAAGGTGGGCGACATAGAGCAATCAGAGTCTAGTCCTAGAGCGAAAACTAAAGCAAATAAAAAACTGTATGCCTACTGCTGAAATAAATTATACTCGTACACTACAGAGCTATCGATATCGATGGCTTTTTTACGTTTTACATTCTTTTTTAGATTGCCGAGTGTGCCTAAAAAGGCTCTCTCACATGGCGAAAGTGGCAAAGAACCGCACCTGGGCGTGGGTTAAGTACGCTACTACTGGGGCCCCTAAGGTAAGGGTGGGGCCCCTTGAGCAGGTTTGGCCTCCCCCTTTTCAAGATCCTGGATACGCCACTGAGTGCAGGGTCAATTATATGCAGCTGTAACGTATTTTCGCTGCCGCTGAGGAGCTCTCAGGACATGTGGTCAAATAACTGCGCTCGTAAATTTCACAGCAAGCCGGGCGGGCATGCGGCGGCATTCGGTCTGAGTTTGCAGCTCTCGACTGCCGCTGATAAGATGGTGTGTGGCAGCGGGTCAGACCAGCGGCCTCCGTGCTGTCAGGTCACATCTCGGTGGATCCGTCCCGCTCCCGATCAGCGGTAACTGCAGGAGGGGCCGCTCCGGGATGGACTGTACTACTATAACAGCCCTGGCAGGCTGCAGTGTGGGGAATAAAATCCTACTTGGACTAGTATATGTGCCGTGGTGTTGCTGGGTAAATTACTCCAATATATTTTTGCAATGAAAAGTAGCTCGTGAAAAACGACACATTTTGGATTCAGCTTAGTTTAAATTGGCATCATACACCACAATGTTGTCACAAGATCTGCTTACTATTCCGATTAATGTAAGTATGTGCCGATAGACTATGACACATCCATCATTCTACTCTGACGCCATTTTGCAACATTCGTTCATATTTCAGGGGAGTCGAGACAGCTGAGTTGCAGAGTGCGACTCTGAGCAGGGTGATGGCCGTTCGGCAGCCGTCATCGCTGCCAGTCTGACACAAGATGGGCAATCGGCTGTCAGTGGTCGGCAAATCTGTCTCAGCCGCCGCCCCGGGCCGCAGCGGACCGGGACTCCGACCCGCAGCGGTCGGCCTGTGACCGTCACAGGGCACAACAGGCCTGAGCAGAGCACCAGTGTGTGACCCACAATCACCAACTTATCAGTGACCCAGCTGATCTGTCAGCTCCAGAGCACCAGTGATCTTAGCTGATCCCATAGCACCCAGTGAACCCTCTGACCTGATAGCAACAGAGCACCAGTGTGTGACCCACAATCACCAACTTATCAGTGACCCAGCTGATCTGTCAGCTCCAGAGCACCAGTGATCTTAGCTGATCCCATAGCACCCAGTGAACCCTCTGACCTGATAGCAACAGAGCACCAGTGTGTGACCCACAATCACCAACTCATCAGTGACCCAGCTGATGTGCTAGTAACGAGAGCACCAGTGATCTTAGCTGATCCCATAGCACCCAGTGAACCCTCTGACCTGATAGCAACAGAGCACCAGTGTGCGACACACACCCCACCAGTGACTCCAGCTGACCTATTAGCACCAGTGACCCTAGTTGACACTTAAGCACCAGTGACCTCGGCTCACCTGACAGCACCGAGAGCAGCAGCAGCAACAGCAGAGGCGGTGCCAGGCGGCCGACGGACGGCGCCCCTCCACTGGCCATCGCGCCACCGCCGTCTCGGACGACCCTCCCCGTCGGCTCCGACGGCCCTCCCCCGTCGGCTCCGACGGCACGACTGGCCGACGGCCGTCCGAGTCGACGGCGGCGGGACGGAGCCGGTCGGCGGCGCGGGTGGCCAAGAGGGCGCCGGGAGAGGGGGTGGCAGAGGGGGGAGAGAGGAGCAGCATTGACACGAAGGAATGGAATACCGATGAATTGACTAAATGTTTATTATTTGGTCAAAATGCATGTAAAAACAGGGAGAGAAGAGAAGGGGGATTTACGATTTACGAGAGATCCATTTCCTACAACTAACGTTTTAACCCTCGCCCGTATAGGGGGGGGGGGTCGAACGGACCCCCCCATGGTTTTTCGCGAATAACTCGCGTAAAAAGCGGCCGATCGCGACGAAACTTTCAGTACCCTCGCGTTAATCAATTTTACACCTACCCTGAAAATTTCATGACCCTGACCCCAATGACCTTTGACCTGTGACCTACTTTTCGAGACCATGTTTGGCCGGAATCGCGATTCGGCGTATGTCGGCTCGCATTAGCCGCGCGTTTGCAGTCTTTTCGTGGTTTCAAGCGTTCAAACATGTGATATGATGTTGCCCCCATGCATTAGGGTGGGTGTCAAGGTCACCTGAAGGTCAGGTCAGGTCATTGACCTTTGGTGACCTCGGTTCACTTTTTCGAGTTTTACATGTTTCTAGGCCAGTTTTTTGAGCTGAATTCGAATTTAGCAACAATATGAACATTTACGAAGTAGTTTTGGTGCCTTCGTAACATGTTACGAAGCTGTCAGAGGCGGTTGACACCTACCAGGAATACCCGGCAGGACCCCTACTGGTTGACCTGACCTGACCTGACCCGACCTGGACTAAATGCATAAAGACATCATCTGTGATCAAAACTAACATGATATTCGTGATCAGCGCCCCGAAAAACCCCATAGCAACCACACTTTACGACGTTCTAACTGGTCCCGATTTTCCGACTTTCGGGTCATTGACCTGACCTGCAAGGTCAACCAATGACCTAGGACCTTAATATTAGGTATCATCGGCTTCCTCTCGTCACGGGCAACACGCTCGTTTTTTCCGCGAAGCTCTAGCTCGATTAGGGGCGAAACGGCAAGGGAGGGGGGCTCCAACGGACCCCCCCCCCCCCTTATACGTTCGCGGCTGGAAAAACACCAATACGGGCGAGGGTTAAATTGGTAAAAGCATGAATCTAAAGCCCAAGCTGAGTGTATACTGTATAATTGGGTAGGTACGTCGCCCCTTTTGTGGTGACTGAGGCTGAGAGACTGGAGGTAAACAAGAGTCGAGCGCCCACAGGGCACCACTGGGAAATTAGCGGCCACGGCCTGTCTGCACAGCCGGACCGGGCTGGCGTTCCGCAGCGGGCCGGCCGAGCGGCGCGGCCGCTCGGCGGCTACAGATGTCCCGGAGTCACTCGCCGGCTCAGATACCTATGGCCCGACTAGCTCTGTGACTCAGCTACAGTTAGCTCTGTGCTAACTGTGTGCAGTTAGCTCTACAGTTAGCTCTGTGCTAATCTGGGAGGGCGACGCAAACACAAACAACTACCACAGCTGAAACTGATTTTAAATATGTGCCTATCACCTGACGATTTTCTTTTACGGTCGTCCAGTCGTAACGTCATTTAAACGGCAGCTCGGTATTTAAACACCGCCAGGCTTGTTTACTAATATTTTGGCATCAACGTTTTGAAAAAAGTGTTTTCATTTGCGGATACTATTGATAATATCTACATCATACACACATGAATATCTGTCTCACATAATGTGAGTACCTTTAAGTACCCTTGAATTGAGTAAGCATACCATAAGCCATTCGCTCTATCTGTGTAAAAGGGTGGGTCACTGAATCACTGTTGTGTGCCCGATAAGTGTATCACATTTGCTATCAGATTCGGTCTAGAGGCTACAGAGCTCGAGGCAGCTCAAGTGACCAGGACGATGTGCATCGGTCAAGGTAAAAAAGAAAAATGAGCAGAGAGCTAACGGCACGTGATATTGACATCAATGATCAATATATGCAATGGAAATAGTTAGACCAGCCCAGGCTGTTTGCTATCGGCTAAATTCTAACAACGACGGTACGTTCACGTCGGCACAATTCTCTTTTTGTCCTCGGTATTTAGTTACCTTTCATGTCAAGGTAAATAATAGCTAATCTTAGTCTTACGCGCATGGCGCATGTCCTCAATTTAGGTTAAAATGAATTCCTGATAGCATCAACATCATATATATCAGCATGCCATTCCATGGCGTACCACAGCCCATGGACTTCTTTTCGAAGTACATGCCTTCAAATATATCTTCAGGTAGTGCGGACTGTCAGGCGTAGGCAAACTACTGAATAGAAACATCTTAAATGTTTTCCCATGCGTCCAATGCAGCAAAAAAAAAACGAGTATCTAAACACATTGCACAGATAAATAAGCAATCAATTCAACAGCGATCCCTTGGAATCAAATATGTGGAACATGGTGAATGCCCCTCAGTTCGATGCCCCCACTGTCCGCGGTGTCTTTGGGCGGCTAGTCGGCGGCGCTCGCGGCGTCGGCCGGTGTCGGCCCGCCGTCCTGCCGTCCGCGGTCCTGCTCGGTCCGCCGGTACACCTCCCTGGTGCGGCTGAGCGCGGCCATGCCCAGCGGCAGCGCGCACACCAGCGCCACGTTCATCCACAGCGTGTTCTCGGCCAGCGGCTCGGCCAGCAGCAGCAGCAGCGACGCGGAGACGGTGACGTTCAGACCGACGCTCAGGACGGCGCCGATGACGTCGGCCGTCACCGGGTACAGCAGCTCGGCGGCGTACTCGTAGACCAGCGGCGCCGTGGCGTACGTGAACGCCAGCGCCAGCAGCGTGGCGCCGTACAGCGACGGCAGTGAGAACGCCTGCCAGCCGGCCACCTGGGCCAGCAGCCAGCCGTAGCCGCCGGTGCCCGCCAGCAGCAGCGCCAGCAGTGTGGCGCGCACGTGGCCCTGGAACAGGTCGGTGAGTCGCGCCACCAGCAGCGCCGACACGCACGAGGCCACGCTGGCCCAGAAGCCCAGCCAGCCGGCCTGCTCCTGCGTCACGCCCAGCGGCGCCAGGCTGATCTCCAGCAGGGCGAAGTACGCCACCTGCATGCCACCGGGCACCACGTAGGCCAGCAGGAGCCAGGGCAGGTCGGGCGCGCGCGCCGCCTGCCGCAGCCGGCGCCAGAAGGAGCCGGCCGGCGGCGCGGCGGCCGCGCTGGCCGACGGCGGCAGCGGCGGCCGCGAGGGGAAGTACAGCAGCACGGCCAGGAAGAGCACAGCCGCCGCGCCCGTCTCCACGTCCATCAGCAGCATGATGTAGTAGCGCGTGGCGTCCGGGTCCGAGTGCGGGTCGGCGCCGCCCGGCAGCTGCACGATCAGCGGCCCGATGACGAACGACAGCGCGATGCCGAGCTCCTGACTGACGGCCGGCACGCAGGTGGCCGTGGTGCGCTCGCCCGGCGGGAACCACACCGAGGACAGGTAGACGGGCGCCGCCATGGCCATCACGCCGCCGATACCGTTCAGCACGCTGCACGCGAACGCCGCCACCGTGAAGGCGGTCTCCTCTGAGGAGATGCTGCGCAGCGCCGTGCCCACCGCCATGCAGAGCGTCATGAGCAGCACGGCCGGGCGCAGGCCGTACCGGCTCAGCAGCCAGCAGTAGGGCGCCACCACCACCAGGTAGGTGATGTTGCTGGCGTTGCTCAGCATCGAGATGGTGGCGTTGTCCCAGGAGGGGAAGGCGGCCTGCGCGGCCACCGTGATGGGACCGAACGTGTTCCAGACGGCACACTGCACGAACCCGATGGCCGAGAAGAGCAGCAGGATGTACCAGCGGCGCCGGTAGGTGCGCGCCGCCGGCTTGACCTGGTCCGACACTGCGCTCTGGCGGCCCTCGGCGCCGGAGGGCAGCGGCTGTGGCCGGTCGGCCGGGCCGGCGGACACGACAGCATTGGACCCGCCATGGTCTGTAGACAGGAGGCAAAGTAGTCTGACAAAACACGTCACAGGCACTACAAAGGCTTGAAGGAAAACTGATGTACACTTTATCCACGATAGGCAACACACCGTGAGGGCAAAGTTTCTGTCAAATGCAAAAAAAAAGTTATATATATCATTGCAGCCGTCACATTTTTATTATCGTAAAGCACATCAAATATCGTGTAAATCAGTGAAAAGGAACTGTCAAAGTCTGGCGGCCACTGACCTTCACCACCCAGGGTCATCGGCGTTGGCGCGGCCTGCGACATTCAGTATTCATGGACCGAGACTTGCGGAACACAGTCGCTGACTTCATCACATTGGTAGCATAGCAAGTGCCTCCATCACACAATAACATATCAATGCCGCACAAGATACTGGACCAAAACCGAACTGCGACCGAACCACAACTAGACCGCAGCCGGACCACCGTCGGACCACCGTCGGACCACCGTCGGACCACCGTCGGACCACGGCCAGACTGCAGTTAGACCAGACCGCACTCGGCCGGCCACTGTGGCTTAGCAGGCAGGTCATCTGCCCGGGCCGATGGACAAGAGGTTGTCACTATCGACAGATCTGAACTGAATATCAGTGGCGCGCCCAGTCAGCTGGGAGAGCAGCCGGCCTGTGCTCAGTTCGAGTGGACAGAGTCCTCTGACGTCAGACCGGCTATCGGTGCTCGTTCCTCGTAAAGCAGCCTACTGAGCAGATGGTCGTTCCCTGTACTCGATAATTCAGATATCGATGGATCCATTCCTTCCCGGAGGGTTAGGTAAGTACATACCGGAGGGTTAGGTACATAATGGCCGTTTTCACGACGGAATAGCAGGCACCTATTTAATCCCCATTTGATCCTTTGGTTCCTCAGGAATTTTAGTAGTTCTTTTTAGTAGGTTCCCCAGCTTTCGAATGAATGGTGCGTTAGTTTGCTATTTTTCTATTAAATATCACATCGATTTACTTTATCTAAGGATTTGTCACTAATATCAACATAAAGCGTAAGCACAATTATAAAATTATGAAATTATTAAATACTAGTACAATAGTTAAAAAAAGATACTGAGTTGCC